AAAGCAGAAACGAAAGAGACACAAAACAATCGAAAAGACAACGATCGACAAAGTTTTGTTCTATCAATGAACACGTGGGAAACGGAATGCGTTCGTGTCACCCAAATATATGATATATGACAAAACAAAAAAAACGTTGTTCACAGACAACAGTACACGTGCATCCTGCCGCAGGACAAAAATGTTTGTACTCTCTTTCTCTCTCTCTCTCTCTCACTCTCTCTCTCTCTCTATCTATCTATCTATCTATCTATCTATCTATCTATCTATTTATTTATCTATCTATCTAGCACACACACACACACACACACAAACACACACACACACACAAAGACACATATATAGTACACACACACACACACACACACACACAAGTTCTATAATAAAATAATCATTTTTTGTTTTTTTTTGTCGCGGTGTTTTTCACTGGCTTTCCTTTCCTCTTGGACGCCCCCTTGCCCTTCCCACAATCCTGCTGCTGTGCGGATTCGTGCACTGCTTGTTCTGTGTTTGCGACATTAGCAGTTGCCCTCCTACTCTCCTGTCTTTGTCTGAGTACTTCTTTCTCATCCGTTATGTCTTTTGTAAAGACACACCAACGTGGTTTTTGCAACGCGTCAACAAGTTTCATATCCTTTGGAAAGATCGTCACTCGCTTCGAATGGATTGCAACCTTGTTCGAGCTCTCTATCAAATGCACGAGATAAGCTTCGGCTGCCTCGAGAAGTGCACGAATTGCAAGCATCTGTAACCACATTGGATTTATTGCAACTTCTTCTTTCTACACAATCTCCTTCACTAGCCTTACAAATGGTCTGTAAGCGATGCAAAGGTCTGTGTTGCGTTGCAACCGCCGCATTTCTGCCACAGCAGCCTCTCCAGGTCGGTGAGCACGCCAGTTGGTTGGTGTGCACCGAGTCTCCAATCTCTGCAAATGTGGAGAACCCAGAGCCTCTGAGTTAGTTAGGCCCTGGGCACTTAAACGTGAGGCGGACAATGCATGCTGGGTACAGAGGCCGAAAATGCCAAAGGGAAATCGACCCATTATCTGAATCTGGCCGAAGGCCTTGATGAAAGAGGCGCAACTGCATTGCCCCGGGCCTCAACTGTATCGGCCTGGGTTCAGCCACTGGGGCTCGTTCACAGGCTGAAGGGAGGCCGCCCACACGCAACACTGGCATATAGGCAAGCAGGGCGAGTGGAGAGGGATCCTGGGCCAATGCAGGCATTGCTGGCACGCTGCGCGAATGCGGGTGTGCTGCGTTGTGTAAAGTTGTGTAGGGCATGAGGGAGGCAGGCAGCGCTAATACGGTGGTGCGCTGCCTGGCCGTAGGGCGCTGGCGGCCATAGCCGGGCTGTAGGCGGGCGCAACGGAGGTGAGGGTGAAGGTGGTTCTTCGGAGGTCAAGGGTGCTATGTGGGTAACAAGGGAGAGTGTGGGTGGAGAGGACACGTACCTGGTGGAGGTGGAGGTCGGCATTGGTGTTGACATCATCACTCGCTGATAGTCAAGTTGTTTGGTTGCTTTCATTGATGTAGTTGTAGGCTAGGCTGTAGAGTAGATAGGGCGTCTGGTGCCATTCATAAGAGAGAGCTGCATTGGGTTATGCTGTTGGTGTTGCCCTGTTGGGCATGGACATCGCCTCACAATTCTTCTGTATCATTCTCAATTGGATGGTTACTCGGTTCCATTCTCCTATCTGCTTTGGCTTTGACTACTTGGACTTCAGTGTGATTTTGCATTCTGGATTTTTGTGCTTCGTCCATATTCATGTTCCTTGCAAACTGGCGGAATGACAAAACAAAGAAAGGAAAGAAGGAAAACTCTATGTGGTTCATGACCTCTTACGTACAAGTCCAGCCACGTGGATGACATTTTGAGCGTTGGCTGCCCCCATCCCAGTGTGTCACAAAGACCACTTGCACGCAGCCAAAAGGCAAAGAGGTAAGGAAAAGGTGGAGGAAACCAAAGCTATACAGAAGAAGAAAGCCTATTAAGCCGACAAAGCAAGTAACACATCCCACAAAACAACATATTTTTCTTTTTTTCTCAGGTATCTGTTTTTGTCTCTTTTTCTCAAGTTTTTTTTTTTTTTTTAATGTTTTGTGACATTCATAGCATAGCGCAAAGGCAAAAAAAACAAAAGAAAATAAGAAAGAAACAATTTTTTTTTTTGTCTTTATTCATACACACAACCCCCTGTTCAGAACCTTCTGCGTACAAGGCCGCCCACGTGGATGTAGGTTGAACGGTGGCTGTCCCCCATCCCCTTGTGTCATATCAACCCACTTCGATACAGCCAAAAGGCAAAAACGCAAAGAAAAGATGAAGGGAACAACCAAATACAAGAAAACAGGGGGCAATAAGCAACAATACAAAAAACGGATCCTACATGACAAGTCTCACATCCAACCACCGCCCCAGTCCTACACAGGAAAAACGACGGGACACGACCACCCAGGAGAAAACAGTCATGTCTGCGAGAAAAGAGAAATCGCAGATTGCATATCTGTATACAGCAGATCGCCTTATTTGTCATCAACACGTGGGTGTTCCTATTTGTAAACCACCGATAAGTTTGGGACTATTATATATATATATATAAATCGTCACAATCATATCAGAGCAAAAAATAAATAAATAAATAAATAAATAATGAATTCATAACCTCTTGCGTACAAGGTGCCCCCTGTGGATGTAGGTTCAGCGGCGGCTTCCCCCACCCCCTTGTGTCATATCGACCCACTTGCACACAACTAGAAGGCAAAGAGGGAAAGAAAAGAGGAAAGGAACAACCAAATAACAAACAACGTTGTGAGAAGCGGAATAAGGGCATGCATGCTCATTTCGTATTCCACAAAGGGCTACTCAACCTACTCCCCATATGATGTTATTCGAACCAACTCCCTATCGTTGTTCTCCTGACGATACTCCACCGTTTTCGTAGCATTGAGACATTGGGTTCGCCAGTGGGACGTTAGGGAGGCAACCACGTCGATCTGCCAACCTTATCAGTTCCTCGATCCAACTGATTGTTCGATATTTATGGCATCTGGACTCGACATTCAGGGGATCCGGATTGTTGATCCCATAAACACCACTCCTCGGTATATCATCAAGGCATCGGATACGCTAGTGGGACGTCAAGGAGGCAGACACCCTGATCTGCTAACCTTATTAATTCCTCAATCCAACTGATTTTCAACATTTATGGGATTGGGACTCGTCGACTCGACATTCACGGGGTTTGGATTCGTCATCCTTGAAACCCTCACTCCCCCTCATACTACCCTCCTCTCTTACCACAAACTCATTGTAGTGCCCTAACATGGTGCGGTTGCCTGTTGGCCCAGTACTTTGTGCTCTAATTGTCCATGCCTGAAGCACTATAAAAGCAACATGTACTTCTACGATGCTACAATGAACGACGAACATCTGATGTGGTGCACTCAATTGAGGGTGTACACGTCAAACTCCGAATGGTCCAAGCCCCACAGGCACCATGTGGAAGCCCAATGTGACCCAAGTTACACGCCCGAGGTATTTCGGTGCAAAAAACATAGTCGGAGACGCACACTAAATCACATGTCCCGGGAAGATACCGATCTTCACAATTTGCTATTTGCGTGGTTTGGTCTCGTGGGCCCAGAAGATACCGATCTTCACAGTATGGCATTTGGCCTGGCCTGTTCGAAGGAACATTCAGAAGACAAATATTATGTGTGGAAGCATCTTGGTGCTGGCCATGAACAAGCCACCTTCCCCCATAATGTTTCCAACACCTTGCACTCGTTGAGGCCTAATTCTTTTATTGTCGGTTAGCCGTGCCGGTCAGTTTGGTCCAATAGGCTCGAAGAGCAAACGCTTCGCGTCTGAATCCCCCAAGCCCCTCAAAGTTTTGGATCTACTAAACTTTTTTTTTTGTTGCCTAACACACGCAGTGATGACGTAAACCACCAGTTCATCTGAAGTTATTGTACATCCTTTTTGGTATACAAGTATTTCCCATAATATTTCCAACACCTTGCACTCACCGATGCCTAATTCTTTTGTTTTTTGTTAGCCGTGCCGGTCAGTTCGGTCCAACAACCCCAAGCCCCTCAAAGTTTTGGATGTACTAAACTTTTTTTTTTTGTTGCCTAGCACACGCAATGATGACTTAAACCACTAGTTCATCATAAACATATTGTGCATCCCTTTTGGTATACAAGTATCGCCCGACCACGATAGGTAGAGCAACAAATGAACAAAGATTTAGGGTCATAATATGTATGTGGTAGACTAGAGACCGGTGCATGTACCAGTAACACATCCCCACTGCTTCCTTAGCTTGGTTTGGCGTCCCTCCCCAGACCAAGTGCAATGGGTTGGTGGACTGACAAACTGTCACATAGGGTCTTATGATAAGTTGAATGCAAAATATGCTTGCATTTGGGCTAAGCTTCAACCATTCTCAACAAAATCATCACGTAGATAAGAATATTCTCTCTTGCCAAAGACCTGACTCAAAGTCGTCGGAGTGCCTACCCTCAAGGAGTCTTTGGGCGGCTTTGAGTGTGACCTTAGTAATGAAAGAAGAAAGGTAATAAATCATGTCACAGTTCAACAGAAACGAAACTCTGAAAGATCAGGGCTGGAAACACAAGACTGAAAAGTAGTATATAAGACATGTAGGGTGCAACAACTTCCATTTCGTCAAAATTGACATCTTTTATTTTTTGAACAAAATTGAAACCGAGTTTTTTGGTCGAAAACTCGTCAAAATTTGTTGTTCCCGAGGGTCCGGCGTTTGTAAAATGCTGGACCCCCTGGCTGTACATGAACCTAGCTTGAGACCAGGTACCTCCAGCTAGTCCTGCCTGGAGGTGCTTGGTCTCAAGCTAGGTCCATGTACAACCAAGGGGTCTTAGCGTTTGGACCCTCAAGAACAACAAATTTTGACGAGTTTTCGACCAGAAAACTATTTCGTTCAAAAAATAAAAAATGTCCATTTTGACGAAATGTCCATTCAACCATTAAAACTATGTTGTCACTGAGAAATCATAATAATAAAAAGTCAAAAATAATTCTCAGTGTTCGAAAATGGATAACCTCAATCAATAATCACTAGAGGGGTCCCCAACTAAGTGAACTCGTCCGTGCAAGATTCTGCCTCGGGTACACACAACTTCTCACCAGACCCAGTGGATTTAGTGGCAATAGGCTTCAAAACCATATAGCTGATATCCAAGGAAACAGCCACGTTGATCTTCATAATGTATGTCGTCCACCATGCCCTGCCCTCAAGCATATATAACTCCTCAACCAATATAATTTTACCACCTGCATCAATCAATATCTTGATCAAACCCAGACCATAGATGTTGTCATAAGTCACCTCTAGGAAGCGGCCACCAAAAACTTCTTTCGATAGGCCTGCATCGCAAAATCGCCCTCTGCCAGCTAAGTGTCTAGAGCTGGACTCAACGGAGATTCCACGTTAAATACTTCAACGTGCGATGAATCCACGTTAAATTGGTTGTTAACTGGCATTGAGCAACCAGTTACTGCATATGCACGTGATCCCTGATTATTTTTTTGCACGCAAAAGCAAAAAGAAAAACTAAAAATATAAAGCTTCATCATCAATTTTTTTTTTTTTGGGTCTTTTCATTTTTTTTCACACTTGTATTTTTAAATGTTTTTGCTTGCCTCGTATGTTTAAGTGACGTTTGCCTACCTGCTGCTCCCGTGCCCTCCAACCCTTGTTCCTTGCTGCCGCCTATTGTCTAGGCTTGACTTATCCCTTCCTGCTCGCACATTCCCTTGTCCTTCTGTATTGCGCTTATGTATGGTGTACCCTCCTGCCTCCTTCGTGCCCTCCAGCCTATTGCTTATGTCACTGCATTTGCCTTGACGCCTTTTGCGTGCCGAATCTT